TGCTTTTGACTCCCAATTCCAAAATGTAACATTTATATCTATCTAATAAAGTTACTAGTCTTAATAAACAAATGCCAAGGTAATTATAATGGATATGAAATCGGAAACAGGGAACGTGTACTAACAAAGTCAACTCTCTCTCTTTGATTAAATCCCTGTACCACTAAACTACCCTTTAAGTTATCAATTAAACCGTTTGAAATTAGATTATGAGTTAATTATATACGGACCTTAAATAAGTTACAAAAATATGACTTGCTCTTTTTATACTTAAAAATTACAATCAGGATTGATCACCGCGATTTTTTTGATAGAATTATCCCTCGGTTCGAGGATATCGCTTTTTTTGGATCAAAACTTAAGTTACGGTATGAGGATGGCATTTTCGGACCACTTTAAGTTTCAGTCCGAGAATGCCATTCTCGGACCGCAACTTTAAGTTTTTAATTAAAAAGCGGTTTAGGGGATTCTTTTCTTTTTAAAAGCTTAAGTTTTGGTCCGAGAATGCCATCATTGAACGGCAACTTTAAGTTTTGGAAAAAAAAAGTGGCCCGGGGATGTCATCCCTGGACCGCTTTTAAGTTTTAAAAAAAGAAAAGTGGTATCCCATCCTCTGACCTCTTTTTTTTTTCAAAACATAAAGTTGCGGTCCTAGAATGGCATTTTTGGACCATTTTTTTTTTAAAGCTTAAGTTTCGGTCTGAGGTTAAATCCTCAGACCGAAACTTAAGTTTTGAAAAATAAAAAGCGGTCCAAGAATGCCATCCTCAGACCGAAACTTATTTTGAAAGTAGAAAAAAATGGCCCGAAGATATCATCTTCGGACAGAGGGGTTAATTTTATTTAAAAAAAAAAAAAATCACGTTGACCGACGTTGATTGTAATTTTCGGGTATAAAAAGAGCAACTCGTCTTTTCCTAACTTACTTAAGGTCCGTAAATAACTCTTAGATTATTTATAAATAACCTTTTGCAACCAATAACCTTCCTAGTTATAGGTAAATCACATGGATTGGAAATTTGATTCCTCTAAATTGAATCAATCTCTTTTATGGCATTGAGCAAATTTTGAAAAGCTTGCCAGTTTAGTATGCTATTGAAGTCATAGAAATCATCAATTTCGTCAAGGTCAATATAGTTATTTGTTTCTCAATGGACATAAACGTCACTAAGATTTTATGGGCAAGACCTAGATTTTTTTTTACCACTTAGCAGGAGATGTGATGTTGTTTCAATACCATCATGTTGGTTATGATTACTATCCAATATGGGTGGTGATCTAAATCGCCCAAATCCTTAAGTAGATCATTATCATCCTCCAAAGGTGACTTATCTCACTTATGGTCTTTGAGAAACTCGTTATCTCTAATTTCAGTGCGACTTATTCATATCGTAAAACTTGAAAATCTTTTAACTTTTGGGGCGTCCTATATAATTATAACCTAAAGATTTATGTTCTGGACTATATCAAAGTTGATATGAGATTAGAAAGTGAGCGATTGGCCCCCTCTTCTTTAAGTTGCTTAAATAATATCTCTTACCAATTCATAATTTGTAAGATGTAGAGTCTATAGCTTTGATTAAAAGCCTTTTGAGGATATACATGTTTGTCCTCAATGTTTTTCCCATAATGTTTTAGTTACATTAACACAAGTCATCATAAAACTAGCCATCTCTAAGATGGTTCTATTACTCTTTCAAACAAATGATTTTGTTAGTGTATAGGACAGAGTAAGATGTAACCGTATCTCTCATTATTCATCATCATTATCGTCAATTTTTTTTTAATTAATTGAGGTCGGCTATACAAATCTTGGTCTGCTATCTTCCTCTATAAAGGTCATACCCTCAGTAGGGTCATAAATCCCCATATCTTTTATTATTATTTCTATCTATGTCTTTTGGGATCTACCCCTTGCTCCTTTGGAGCATTCCACTTGAACTAACTCGCACCTCTTAACAGGTGTTGCATTGGGTTTGTGCCACATATAGCCAGCCATCTAAAGTCTAATCTCTTTTATCGTATCGTCTATTGGTGTCACATCTAAATTTTTTCGAATATATTCATTTCAAATTTGATCACTTTTTGTCTTGCCACTCATGCATCTCAACAATACTCAATCTATAGCTACATTATTTTTTGACTGCCCAACATTTTAACATATAGAGCAAAGCTGGTTGCACATCTATCCTACATAACTTACTCTTCAGACTCATTATCTCTTATTAAGAGGCCTAAAATAATTTGAAAAAAATATCCAAAGTGACCATTCAGTTTTGGTATAAGGAGGTCACAATTGATCTTATCCATCATATTTCAAAAAGGGTGATTGTAGAATATCATTGGCTAGATTCAAAATTCAAACTTTCTTGATCTTGGTAACATTGCCCAAACTATCCATACTAACCTGAGAAATGGTGACCTCCTTATAACAAAGACAGAATTGTCTCATAGGACATGATCCCATATCAATTTCATGGCATCGAAGGGAATCATCCAAAACAATATCGTCACATCCATATGAATAGGTTTTTGTTGTGAATTGATACTTTTAGTCACCACGGGGGTGAGAGGTGAACTTTTTTTCTCATGAATGTTATTTATTTTATTGATAAGCGAATTACAAAAGAGAGAGAGGTGAACTTTTTCTTCTTATGAATGTTACCTATTTTATTGATGAGAAAATTACATAAAACAGATTACATCGTAAGAAACTATAGAAGGGATTAGCAAAGCCGCACCCTCGACCAGTGAGTCAACCAAAGCGTTTGCTTCCCTATGCACATGGACAAACGATATGGTCATAAATTCTACCATGTCATGGATCTAAAGCCATAAAGAACTCTTTGCTCTTTATTGCAACATCTAATGACAGTCATCGAATGACCTTTAGTTACACAACAATTACCCAAACTCCTACTGATAAAAACCTTCAGTCATTGTAAAAGAGCAAGAATCTCAAAAAGATTGGCAGTAGCGATTCCTATGGGTCTAGCATAAGTAAAAAGAATATCCCCATTCCAACTCCGAAGGACCCCACCAATTCCAACCACACCTAAATTACCTAAAGAGCTATCATTAAAGTTGAGTTTGATACCCTCTTGAATATTGGAATCCAAATACTTCTAGGTATACTCCTAGGAACACTCAAAGATAACAAAGTATAGAGATTAATCATTACATCCACCTCTGAAATGCCCCAACCCTTCTTCGTAACAGATAACCAACACCACACATAATGTATAATAGTATTGAGAACTCTAAGATAGACAATTGCCATCGAAAATTCTTCTATTTTCTCTTTCCAAATTTCCCGCAGAATTATACCTCTATCAATTTTCTAAATCAAATTACGAGTATTCGGGAGAGAGATGATTGTCTTTGTTTAAGTGCCCAAAAAGAGAAAGTAACTAAGATCCATTTCCATGGATAAACGTACGGGTGCCAATGGATCCGGACCCGACCGGGTTTGGGTATGGGGTCTAAAATTTGGACCCAATGGGTCAGGTTTGAGTCCAAATATTGGATCAAATACTATTCGAGTCCGGGTGCTGGTCCATATGGACCCGAATCGAGTAGTGTTATTATTTAAATAAAATTATATATAATATTTTAATAATATGTATTAGTATTTAAATAAATATAATTATATCTTTTAATTATAATATTTAAACAATATAATATTTAAAGGGTGCGGTTTGTATAGAGTTGAGGCTCTAAACAATCAACGTAAAGTGCACCTTCGAATAGTGTCGAGAAATGTGGTTTCAATATTGAAAATCTTTGTGATAGCCTTAAAATTTATTCTCACATTTAATTATAAATTTAAAGCTTAAAAAATAACGTAGATCAAGCAGATCTATAAAAACTTGAAAATATTGAAAATTAACAGTCCAAAAATGTGTTACACGATACATTGTTTCCAAAACTTGAAATCCATTCTTTTCTCATGTCCATGTGTCTTGATATCAGGATGTTCAATTTGAGGATATGTGGTATTAAAACAACATCTTCTAGTGAAGTTTTTGAGGTAGGCTTTAATTTGAGGATATGTGGTATTAAAACATCTTCTAGTGAAGTTTTTGAGGTAGGCTTTAATTTGATTGTTTAGAGCTCAGTTCCGTATAAAATTTTCCTATATTTAAATAATATTTCTTATTTTTGGATCCAAAGATACCGATAAGCCTGATCACAATGGCCCAAGACCAAATTCGGTGGGTGGACCCGCAGCCACCACAGAAATCAATGCCCAGAGGGTATGAATCTCCTTTGCGACCGACCGTAAACGCACTAAGGTCTTAAACGGTAACGGCTGACGCGTGGCACTTTCCAGAAGGCTGCTCATTTTTTATCTCCCTTTCTGCCAAACATTCACAGCGTCTCCCATGCCCATTGCGGGCCACTCTAGATTGATTGTGGTTAATAAAGACTAATAAATTTCTTTCTAGACGTTCTGTTCGCCTTTGCACCTGTGTGTTAGACAAACTCGAGAGCTAAGTGTGGCAATCGGGTCAGGTTGACTGGGTCTGGGTCTGGATCTGAATCTACCCGGCAGGTCGGGTCCCTGTGCACGTGCACGACTCCTAGCATGTCAGGTCTGCGTCTGGATCAGGTACATGATTCCCCGTATAAAATATGTGGAATTATAAAAACAAAAAGTTTATATAAAGTTGGGGTTCTAAATAATCAAATTAGAGCCTAACTCAAAAATTTTATTAGAAGAGGTTATTGTGTTGCCCAAATATCCTTATATTCATTATCTCCGCAAAGATGAATGGACACCAAAAACAAATAGATTTCAAGTTTTGAAAATAGTGTATCTTGTAATACATTTTTTGAATGTCAATTTTTAAGATTTTCATAGATCTATTTGATCTACACAATTTTTTAGTTTTAAATTTTATAATTAAAGATAAAATTATATTTTAAGGCTGTCACAATATTTGAAGGTGCGCTTTACTTTTGAAGGTGTCTCGATACTATTTGAAGGTACGCTGTGCTTTGATTGTCTAGAGCCTCGGCTCTATACAAACCGCACCCCTTTAAACAATATTGCCAAACAGTCCCATCTGGGGTTTACAATTGTCAAATAAAAAAGCAACTAAACACGTCTTACTTCTCCATGGCTAAAATAATCGAACAGCCGCCGCCCCCTTTTCTCGAGTAAAATCACTGCGTCCGAGGGGTCTGATCTCTATATAAGATCTCCATGCTTGCCTTCATAGAACAAAGTTAATAGAAAAGAGAGAACAAAAAAATGGCTTCTTCTCTTGCTTCTCTATCTCTCTTGCTCGTTTTCTTAATCGCAGGCGAGCATGGGCTCGGTGTCTTAGCCCAGAATTGTGGCAAAGAGAGGGGAGGAGCGGTGTGTGCAGGAGGTCTTTGTTGCAGCAGGTGGGGTTTTTGTGGAAGCACTGATGAGCACTGTGGTGAAGGTTGCCAGAGCCAGTGCAAACCTCCCGGTGGTGGTGGTGTTGCTTCTCTTATATCGCAGTCTCTGTTTGATCAAATGTTTAAGCACAGAAATGAAAATTCTTGCGAAGGAAGAGACATTTACACTTACAATGCTTTCATCACTGCCGCCAAGTCATTTCCTGCATTCGGAACTACCGGTGATACGACCACCCAAAAGAAAGAGATCGCTGCTTTTCTTGCTCAGACTTCAAAGGAGACCACCGGTATGCAAATCTCTTCTCCCTCTCTGTCTCTAAAGCTATATTTCATTCCCCGTCTGTGTTCTTTGTTCTTCAGTTTTGGCATAAATACAAGTAATTTTGGATGTGTAGGTGGATGGGCAGATGCACCTGATGGGCCTTACGCATGGGGCTATTGCTTTGTCAATGAGAAGCGACGAGATGATTACTGTCAAGCTAGTGCTCAGTGGCCTTGCGCTGGCGGCAAAAAATATTACGGACGAGGACCCATCCAAATCTCCTGGTAAATCTCTCTCTCAATTTTATGAATAAATTTGATACTCACGACTACAATACGAACCATTTACCACCCTACCTTAAAAAATCGAGAGGTTCCTTTCATTCCATAGCAACCACATGATGCAGATAATGTAATTCGAATAAAGTCTAACACCTCTCACAAAAGCATGATCGTTGTCATTTATAGAAAAATATGATTTCCTGCAAAAGCTAAAAGAAACAGTCCTTTCACACATCTAATCTAGTAACCTTCCCCCATGTGATTGCGGGATATTTATCTTTTAAGTATTTGGAGTCCGCTGCACAAATCCCATTCAACCATTTTGATAGACCCCGCTTATAAGCTCTCAATCAAGTTTCACTTTGTTCATGTTGATCCGATATATGAATAAATTTCAGAAATTATAAAAGAATATACCTTTATTTTTTTATTATTAAAAATAGACCTCAAACTTTTCAAAACCTCATCCGTAGCCCTTTTTTATGTAACCTCATCCGTAGCCCCTTTTTGTGTAAGTAGATGAAAATAGCCTTTATGGTAGTCTTAGGACCATGATGTCTTCACTTCCTAAGAATGCCAATGAAGACGATTTTGGTTAACAAAACACAAAAGGTAAAGAAAAAAAAAAAAGGTATGGGAGAGGTTTTAGAAAGTTTGGGGTTTATTTTCAATAATCTAAAATTAAGATATATTTTTTATAGTTTCCCTATCATCAATAGAGAGTGATAATATGATTTGAAAGTTTATTGGGTGAATCTATGATGCAAAATTGTTTCATGTTGCGGGGACTCTACATGAGATATAAAGCATCCATCTTAAAGTTATGGAGACCACATTTATGTATGAGATATAAAACATCCATTTTAAAGATGGGCGCAAATAAGTGGTCCACATAAAAACAATTGAAACTATCGCTCCAAATGTTTTATTAATAAAGTTATTATTTTGATTTTTAAAATTAATTTATTTGTCATATTCATGATCTCTATGTTAGAGATTACAATGTCCTATGTCCAAATATCCATCTTGAAAATAGAATTTTGGAAACTAGGTGTAAAAATAATCGACCTCACGTGGTGCTTTTGCATCAATAAGTACGATATTGACCCATGGATCAATGTAAAGTTTTCTTTGTTGAAAGGTTATCCAAACAAAAGAAAATTGTCTCATACGGTCTGGACTGCATTTCTATACATACGGTCTAGAAAGTGTAAAGCATACATCTTAAAGATGGATACAAGTAGGTGCTCTTTCTAAAAACACTGAAAACCAAGGGTCCAAATATTTTTTTACTAGAATTATTATTTATAACTTTTAAAATTTATTTATTTTTTCATATTTATGATCTCTATATTAGAAATTACATGTCGTCAAAAATTAAGCCTTAAAATCCATCTCAGATATAGATTTATTAAGAGGCCTGCATTCTACATATGCATGCTTGTCCGCATAAAAACGGCATCCTTATATGTCGTATTTTCTTGGTCAGCAACTAATCTTTTAAAATCAGAAAGTATATTCTTATACGATGTCATGGCAACTCCCTTGTCATTTCTGACATATATGGCGGGTTGAACGGTGATTGAGTGACAATCTGATCCGCCAAAGTAATTTTGATGGTAGATTTACCTCTCCATTACCATCCAGTCGTCGATGACGAGGGGCCCTGTTTAAACGCTTGGTTGGAACGCACTGTCCTAAAAGTTCGAATCCTACACAACCACCCAAAAAAGAAAAAAAGATATCTAGGATTTTCAATTTCAAATTTAAAACCCCAGAAATTTGGAATCTCGATTTCTTCTAGTTTACTTTGTGATCCACCAAATTGTTATAGGGTTATGTTAGAAGGTTCTTGTACCAACATTTTGATTTCAATGGGAAATGATTTGGCCGAGAAATGAGAGGAAAAATTTACCATATTTTCATGAAAAATAGGCCCAAATGATAATTTCTATTAAAAGAATGAGTTTTGGAGGATAAAAAGGCATCAATTTGTATCCAAATGGATCAAAATGGGGATAATATACAGATTATTGGTGGAAGTAAAGTAAATAATGCTGAAAATACCACTTTTTACCTATTTTTCAAGTGATAATGAAGCCGGGCGAGACGGATACCCTACCAGGCCCATGTTGACTCGGCATATATTTCTTGTGGGTTTGGTTGATAGAAGATGCTTCCCCAAGCAAATAACATAGGACAATAAGTGTTACTATTTATGATGACTGTCATCCATTGGAAACTAGACTTTCCCTGAGTTTCGTTGTATAATTCAGAAAAAAGGGTTGAGTCGTGGTGGTAGCACCCTCATACATAGTTTCCACGTTGTGATTTTCAATCTCATTAAAACCTTCAAAAAGCTAAATCCTAATATGTTTGAGTAAGTGGGAAGGGGTTTGTCTTACCGGTTGAACTACAAAAGGCCTGCATACGAGCCATCGTATATGATGAACGATGGAGATGAATAGGTGGCAGGTCTAGTGGTATCTACACTGTCGTTTTTGAGTAGAGACAGTGGTTGCAGTTTGTTTACTGTACGCAAGATACACTATCTACACAATCACTAGTTTCCTAGGTTATTTGCCTTTCATTTCAATCTGGGCATACGCATACATTTATTTATGAGTGGTATTGTTGGTGCAGGAACTATAACTATGGTCAGGCTGGGAGAGCAATAGGCTTCGATGGTATCAACAACCCAGACGCCGTGGCCACCGACGCTGTCATCTCCTTCAAGACTGCCTTTTGGTTTTGGATGACGCCGCAGTCTCCGAAGCCCTCAGCGCATGATGTCATCACCGGTGGATGGACACCTTCAGCTGCGGACCGCTCGGCTGGTAGGGTCCCTGGGTACGGTGTCATTACCAATATCATCAATGGTGGCTTGGAATGTGGCCATGGAAGTGATGACAGGGTTGCTGATAGAATTGGATTCTACAAGCGCTATTGCGACCTCATGGGTGTGCCCTATGGTGACAACCTTGATTGCTACAACCAAAGGCCCTTTAATTTTGGGAAAAGGATAACACATAATTATGACCACCTGTTTCAACTGAGGAAATAAACTCCCTTGACGAATTCTATGGTTAGAAGTACCACACCTTGCCAACTGGCATATAAAATAATAAAAGAGATGATTCCTTTGAAGAGATGATTGCTGTGCATCACATGGTGTGGTGGTTTATGAACTTTATATCTTGTGCTCACCGAAGGTGGCCCAAATCCCACTGACATATCAATATTTTTATTTACTTATGGGAATGACTCAAGGTTTTGGTAATAGTATTGCCGAGTTCTATGGTCAGGGCTTTGACTCCATTGTCACCAAAGGGTTTGGGCCCAAATCCCCATCGACTTACCAATATTTTCTTTTTTTAGAATGACTCGAGGCTTTGGCGGTAGTATGACCGAGCTCTGTGGTGAGCTCTGTGACTCCATTTTCACCAAAAGGTAGGAGCCCAAATTCCAAATGACTAACCATTTTTTTTTTTTGAGAATGGGGTTGAGGTCGTGAGAAGGAAAATATAAATTTAAATATTAGATATGTGAAAAAACAGGGGAGAATTGGTAAAAACTTAAGAAATAACCCATGTAACTCGGAAAAAAATACTAAAACTCAGCAAAAGATGTTATAAATATATAAGGCTATAATGTACTTTAATTTTTAGTATCTATAGAATGGCACCATCTCATGAAATGCTTGCAATAAAAACAAAAATTCCTTATAGTACTAAAATAAGCACATAACTTACCGAAATGGAGTCAACAGTGGGTATCAAGGGTTCGTTTCATGACTTTATTTGCAGTTTCTCTAGGATTTTCCCCGCTCCTAACTTTTTTAGATTCTAAGAAGCAAATGAAAATTAGTAGCCTGAAAGGCGCTCAGACAATAAAGCATTTTACAATTATACTCGACAAATTTTGGATATTATATACCATTGTTTTGTACCTGGAGCAAAAACACTAATGTCATTTAATGGTCTATGCAGGTGATGTCACATCCCATGCGGATGTTGTCACACCCTTCCTAATAAACAAAAATAACCTTACTAAACAATTATTGTATTACAAAACAAAGATATATAAATGTCCAAAGTTTGGTAAGAACAATTATAAAATGCTCTATAGTGTGAGTACCCTAACAAATGTTATTACAATATACATAATATAATATATTTGTTGATGGTTTGTAACTTTCTCCAAAAGTTGCAGCGCATGGGTGCTTATGGTCTTCCAATTTTCAAAAAAACTTCTTCGCTATAACTTTTATTTTTTTATTAACTTAATATTATTGACCTTTAATTTAAAGATAAGTATATTAACGACGAGAGTAAATTAAAAATCTCTATTTAATAAAAAATTCATTAAAACTTTCATCAATGAGTTGTCCTAGAAAAACAATATTATTCCCCAAAAAAAAGTAATAAAAACAATCATATATCTGAAAAGGAAAAAGTTTATATAGAGCCGAGGCTCTAAACAATCAAATTAGAGCCCACCTCAAAACTTTTACTACAAGAGATTATTTTTGTGCCCAAATATCCTCAAATTGATCATCTTGACGTCAAGATGCATGGACATGAGAAAAAAATAGATTTCAAGGTTTGGAAATAGTGCGTCTTGTAATGCATTTTTGGACCATCAATTTTTGAAGCTTTAAATTTTATAATTAAAGATAAAAATATATTTTAAGGCTATCACAAAGATTTCCAATATTAAAATCATATTTCTCAATACTATTTGAAGGTGGGCTTTACTTTGATTGTTTAGAGCCTCGGCTCTATACAAACTGTACTAGGTAGAACAGGAAGAAGAGTAACCCAATGAAAAATATATATTTTTCTTTAAATCCAAGGTGTTCTTATAAAGAGCAATAGAGAGGTTCAATAAGACTAAAGATTTAGGTAGCTTAGAATTCATTGCAAGATTCAAATATGCTTGAGTACTTAGTTGCTTTTTTTTATGCATAGAGATGTTTGATTTATTTCATATTTTATTCTTAAATTTTTATTTTATTTGTGTATACAATATAGCATTTTGGTTGGACTACTATTTTATATATTTAGGTATTTGTATTTTCTTTTAATTAACTGTAATCCTATATTGAGAGCATTTTTTGGCTTTTTTCTTTGAAAAATAATCATATACCTTGGTTCATAGTTATTTGCTAGTTCTTGTGTTTAGCATTGACATTGTTTCATTTTATGCTCTCAATAAATCTACGATATGTGTGACAATAGAATAAGCGTTGTTGCTGGATTTATTGAAAGTTTCAATAAAAGACTGTCAAGTATTACTCTAATGACACTAATTATGTTTAATAGCATTAATATATCTATACAATAGCTGCAAATCATAATCTTGTATTGAATCATCTTTATATATCCAATTTTTTCACTACTGGTTTTCTAACCAAATGTGAAATATTCACGATTCTATAACTTATCTTATTTTTTTGGGGATCTATAATTTTTACCCTATTTTTTCTCTAACTTTTTGAAATAAAACCGATTTATTACAGATGGTTTAGTTTGTCGATATTTTATTATTCCCCAAGTTGCTAGCTATGCTTTTAGTATAAGGAGGTCACGATTAGTCTTATCCATAAGATGTTAAAAGGGCAAGCATTCTTTACTTCTCCTAATGTATAATAGTTATATACTTCCCCTTATCTAACCGTCAGATTTGAATGAACGGTTGAGATGGATCCAATTGCAATGCCGCGTCTCTACACTATTTAATCTTTAGTATGTTTTCTATAAAACATTTTGACACTAATATTTAGGTGTCCACCTCTCTCTTAAGCTCACACCAAAAAAAATATTAGCTCTAAAATAAAATATCCAAAACAGGTGTGAAACTTTTAGGCGTATTTTGGTTGTTATATTTTTTTATTATTATTTTTTAGGTACACCCTATTGAGATGATAACACTTACCAAATTTCATATTCATATATTTATAGTATAAAAAATAAAAATAAAATACTCTGAGGTGTCGGATACAGATGAAACGATCAATGGCTTACTTGATCAAAATTGGACAGCTGGATATGGGAAGTATAAGACTTCTATACGGTAGGGAAAGTATAGAAACATTTCCCATTTTAAAAAGGGTGGTTGTAGATGGCTAGACTCAAAGTTCAAAGTTCCTATACCTTCGTAACGTTCCCCAAACTATTGAAATTATGTTCCTTATAAAAAAGATAAAAGGGAAAAGTTTATATAAGGTTGCAACCTTAAAAACGTAAAATCACATATGCACCTCAAAAGTCTTTTGGAAAGGCTATTTTAATGTTGAGAAACCCTCTAATTGATCATCTCAACATCGAGATGTATAAATACTAAAAAGAAAAATATTTTTGAGTCCCAAAAATAGTGAATCTTACAACACATTATCTAGACCGTCCATTTTCAAGATTTTCATATATTTATATGTCTACTCGATTTTAACCAATTTTGGAGTTTAAAATTTTGTAATTAGATATGAAAATATTTTTTAAGATAATCTGAAATACTTTTTACAACAAAATTACATGTTATGATAAAATTTGGAGCTGCGCCTTCATTGAATTGTTTAAGGTTACAATCACGCGGTCACAATTATCCAGTAGTGTTTTATTTTTTCATTTTTTTCTAAAAATAAGAATGATATGAAATTTGGAGATTCTTTTTATAAAAAATAGGAGAATCTACAAAAACATATTTTACATGAAAAAATTGACCAGAATATCCCCAAAATATCTCGAGAGTATTTTGGTCAATTTTATTTTTTGCAAATAAATTTTTTATAATTTTATTAAGTGTGCCTTACTGATATGTACATACCCTCCAAATTTTAAATCAATATGATTTGTAAAAAGTAAATGAAAAATAAAATACTACTGGACAATCGTGACCGTACGATGAACTTTGGACGGTGATGAGGGTAAGCAAAATCATCGTTCATTTTGCCTGTAGGTGTTGGGAAGACTCTTCTTCCATATAGAAAAATATAATTGACCAAAATGTAAAAAAAAAAATAAAAAAAAAAAAAAAATTAAATTCACCAAAACAAAATTGACCAAAATACTCCCCCGAGATTTTTTGGGGGTATTCTAGTCAATGTTTTTTATGTAAAATATTGTTTTGATATTTTTCATAGATTCTGCAATTTTTTATGAACAAACGTTACAAATTTCAGATTATTCCGAATTGTAGAAAAAAAATAAAAAATGAAACACTATCGGACAATCGTGACTGCACAATGAACTTTGGACGGTGATGAGGGTAGGAGAAATCACTGTTCATTTTCACCTATAGGCGTTACTTAGTATCTTCTTATATATATATATATATAT